ATAAGTTATACAAGGTCAAAAAAGGCTTCATAATAATATTATAGACGCCACAGTTTTCCGCGGCTTGATCGGAAAAAACAATTCGCATTGGGAGCATCATAAAAACCTACATGCTTTATCCGAACTTTCTATCATTTATAGTTACCGAGATATCAGCTGTTCTAAAAAATGCGAAAACAGTCTTTTGAGCTTGGTGGGCGTATGGGATGGTGTGGCCGGATAATAGTACCACTATAAGATGCGATAGCATCTAAATAGATTTCAGCGACTTTAGTTTTTCGCGATTTGTGGGCGTTAGAGTCGGCGTGTCAGGAAGCCGTAATAATGCGATATGCGCTGCGTAGGGACCTCAAGAATTTTCATGGTTAATCTCAACTTTGTATCTGAGATCTCAACGTTCATACGGACAGACGGACGGACGGTCGGACGGACGGACGGTCAGTCGGACGGACAGACGGACATGGCTCAATCGACTTCGCTATTTATCCTGATCAAGAATATATATACTTGATTGTATCCTTCCACCATCCGTTCAGAAAGATCTAATCCACGGTTCAGAAATTAAGAGCTATGCCCTTGTTTAGATAGGAGAGTTGGAAGAAGCTGCGGAACCTAAAAACAAGGATATAAAAGAATATCAAGAGTTTCACACTAGAAAAATGTCTCTAGTAGACACAAATAGGGATTTATTAAATAAATTGCTGTTAACCTCACCCCCATTTTTAAGTGTGCAAAAAATGTTTAATGCACAAACGGGATTACGATTTAACCAATGTTTGTATTAAGAGATTCAATATTTAATTCAGTCTTGGAAAAAAATTATTTTATGAAGAGTCACGTCATCCGTTTTGGACAAAATTTCATAGCGATATCACCACTAGAAATATTTTTGGCCGCGGCTCCATACAAGCCTAACCACTGTGCAGCCCTCTCCCGCTCTGTAGCCGAAACCAAAGCAACATCAAAGACATCAACCGATTCTGTCACCGGCACAAACCGCCGGTAATAATGCTGCAACAAAGATTGCCAATTTAACTAAAACTAAGAATGCAATTCATATTTCTAAATTAAATCAGAATTGTTTTTCAAATGTCAGCATTTGTTTTCCGTACCAATACAAGAAAAATTATCATTGCAATTTCTTTTGACTCGGCTATGGCTAATGGTTATGGTTATGGTTAAAAATAATTCTTCGCAGTACATCTCTTCTGAGGTCTGATTTTTTTCGTTTGTGTCAAAGTTTTCAACAATTTTTATACACGTTTCTCGTAGAGTAAAAGTGTATACTAGATTCGTTGAAAAGTATGTAACAGATAGAAGGAAGCGTTTCCGACCCTATTATATACTTTATATTATTCTTGATCAGGATCAAAAGCGAAGTCGATTGAGCCATGTTCGTCTGTCCGTCTGTCTGTATGAACGCTGAGATCTCAGTAACTATAACGGATACAAAGTTGAGATTAAGCCTGAGGTCCCTAGACACCGCAAGTTTATTTATAATACCCACAAATCACGAAAAACTAAAATAGCTGAAATCTCAGGAACTATTAGAGCTAGAAAGTTGAAATTGAGTATGTACAATATATGGATTCCAGCGCATCTTATAGTGGTACTACTATCCGGCCACACATTCCCATACGTCCACGAAGCAAAGACGGTTTTCAAATTTTCTAGAAAAGTTGATATCTCGGTAACTATAAGTGATAGAAAGTTTGGATTAAGCATGTACGTTTTTATGATGCCCCTTATGGGAATTGTTTTATTCCGCCTGCCTGCCCTAACGTCCACAAAACCCGAAAAACCAAAAACGCAAAAATCTTGGAAACTATAAGAGCTAAAAAGGTGTGCTTAAGAATACGTATTTAAGAGATCCCACTGCAACTTGCACCTAGTTTTTATCCGGTCACACCCATTATAATTTTCTTATCAGCGTAATTGTTCTTAGGCTTAGTACATAGCCCCGTATCGATCGTAAGATCTAATGTTGAATGATAAGGATCTTCAGGCTGTGTGAGAGGTGGAGCACTGTATATGGATACAGCGTCCGTATCAGAGAGGAAGAACAGATCGAGCAAACGACCTAAAGAATTCCCTATATGATTAATTTGAGCCAGTGACATGTCTAACATGCCAGCAGTAACGTCGTGATACGACGTAGGTGTTAAAGCTAAGGTGTTTTCATTCATGGTCCAAGCCACCTGGGGTAGGTTGATCTCCCAACACCACAAGCTAATCCATGTTCGATAACATTGAGACGACAGACTAAATGGCTGCTAGGTGCCGCTCATATGTCAAGGAATCGGACTTAGGCGGAATATAAGAGCAAGTGATATATAAATTTAATCTAGACAATGAAATTTTAACTGTGATAAATTCTAAGTCTCCAGCTTGAAGATTTATCACCTCGGAAACGAGATTAGAGTCCACTGAAATTAGGACTCCACCACCATTTCCGTGGGATCGGTCAAGCCTATATATTGTGTACCTACTTGGGAAAACTCCAGAATTAAGAATTTCTGGAGTTAGCCAGGTTTCGGTAAACACAATGACCTGGGATGCAAACGAGAAGCTTATCGAGAACAAATTAGAAAGCTTAGAGCGTAAGCCTCTTGTATTCTGGTACGAAAGAATAATGGATGATGTTAGTTTTTTAGGTTGGCAGGAGCGTTTACTTGTGGAAGCTTCACTCCTAAAGGGCGACTTTTTTTCTTCTTTTTATTTTTAAGCTGATGTTCTTGAACGAAAATATGTCGTTTTTTCGCGCTTAGTTGTAACTTGTTGAACTGAGTGTCCAGCGCAGAAAACAGGTCGTTAGCTTTGCGAAAAGCAACCTGACCGAACCCATTTTTAGTCTGCCGCATAAATGATCTAATTTTCCCAAAGCATCCGGAAAGGTGGCTGACTTCAACCCTGCACACTTGGAGTGCGCAATGTTATCACACAGCCAACAATGGACACTTACTTGGTCAACCGACACAAATTTATTGCATTTTGTAATGCAACAGATAATATCGGACATTTTGGCAAATAATTAATAATATGTAAACCACTGTGCCTGAAAAATATTAGAATATGTTAGAATACAGACCACAATTGTTGAAATTTGCTTGCAATAACTGTTTTATGTAACCAGATAACAATAAATACACTGCACGACGCGGAATGGAAGATAGATTTTTGAAGAAGATAAACGTTTGCAAAAAGTGGCAAAAACGAGGTGATTCGGAATAAATACAAAGATTAAATCGCTCGAGAACACGCAAAAGCCATAAACACAACCGTTCGCTTTGAAAGAGAAGTTAAGTGTGAGAGATCAGAAGAAGATCTACATACTATGAGGTAAAAGCTTCGGTCAGCTTCGTCGGTCAATCAATAAATAGCTTTGTGCTTCCAACAAACATCTTTTCAGAGGCTACCGTGCTATCATATTCCAGTCAAGAGAAGTGATAGGAGTGATAAGGTCTCAAGAAAAAAATAAAGCGCCAGGGGATGATTTCATCTCCCGTGATATGAATATAAAATTGCTGAACTGTGCAGTAAATCTTCTTACCACAATATTCAACAGGATGATGAATTTAGGCCATTATCCGTAACAATGGAAAAAGTCTGTCATTCCTAGCCACCAATTTGGTTTTCGCGAGAAACACGGAATCATTGAACAAGTGAATTGAATAACCTCATTTACCACAAACAACTGAAGTAACATATTTTGTAGTCCACCTTGACAGACGGCTCACTGGGCGAATGCACATCGAAGCTAAGAGAACACACTTTAATTAATTGCGAGAAGCCTGCATTGCTTAATAAATGCACGTACTTCGCTAAAATTGGAGTCCAAGGTACTTTTATATAATGCAGTTCTCAAACCAATTTGAAAATATGGCTTCGAGCTATGAGGAAACGCATGCGTTAGTAACCTAGAAGTAAAACAGCGAACTTAATCAAAGATACTGAGAACTATAACTGGTGACCCGTGGTACATACGGCATGAAAACATTCACAGAGATTTAAACGTGGGATCTGTTAAAGACGAAATCTAAAATGTAAAAGCAAAATATACGATCAAGCTGATCTTTTAACCGTGTAACCCTTAAGGCCCTTTTTTGGCAAAGTCGAATCTCTGATTTACATTTAAGGCTGCCAAGGAAGCGGCGGGTCCTATTTGTTCTTCTGCTGAGGTGCAAAGTACACATAGGGCCGGGTCGTATCTGACATCAACCAAGAAAAACTTTTATTTCCTTTATTCTTTGAAAAAGTATGGCTTGGCTAAGCATTTTTATGGTCGGAAGCATGCGATGGTATGGCCATATATTCATAGAACTAAAATCTTTATTGAAATTTATAATTTGACCTTTGCCAATTACGTTTTAAAAATAGCTACATGAACTTCCTTCCTTCCTTCTATGTAAAATGATTCGGTCAATCTTCATTGACTTGTTCTTGCAAAACAGGTAAAGACTCCCAGAAATCTCAGAAACGTCCTGAACCGTGGCTTTAAATTGGCCGTATTAAGTCTTATCTTTGCCTTACGCGATTTAAACGGGGTCAAAACATAAGTTTCTCTTTTTACCACATTGGGATACTATTGATTAATTTACTCTGTTATAATACTCTCTAGTATAATCTATTTTGTTGTCAAAATAGAATTGACGAGCAGATTTAATGTTAAATGTGCACCTTAGGACTACATCGAATTTTCAACCTTTTAAATTGTCTAGATGAGCAAAAAATGTTAGCCTGCATTAGACTTTCCGAGATATTTAATTTAAGTATAAATTTATATTCCTGTCTTAAAATCTTGAATTTTTTGTATGTATTATATATCAGTTATTCCCCCGCGAACTAGAATTTTTCAAATAAGATATAAAGGCGTCGCTCGTTAAGGACTGTGGGCCTCTTTTAATTGTTTTCTTTATATTTATTTAGTAAAATAAATCAAAGCTAACACATCACATAAAAATGATTTTGCAAATATTTTAAACATTATTATTTATTTTTAGATATTGACAACAATGGCTTCTTGGACCAGAATGATTTTCTCTGCATGGCAGTAAGAGCGTGTGTCGTTGAAGGCAAGGGTGATTGCAGCACTGCTCGATTGGATGACTATAAAAAACTTATGAAAAACTTATGGGACGAAATATCTGCAATAGCTGATGATGATAAGGTACATATATTATCGATTTTATTATATTATATATCAATTTTAAAGCATCAGCTGACTGCAGCGAAAAACGGTAGCCGTATTCCCTAAGTACGCTGATATATCGGTAAATATACGAGATAGAAAGATAGTATCCAATGATGTCCAGAATGCGTATTATTTTTTTACCATCCGGCCACGCCCACTGTAACGCCCAAGCACCGCGAAAAGCTGTGGCGTACAAAATACTAAATCGAATGTCTTCGTTTGACCTTGTATAATATTTCTAGTTTATCTATGGATTTAGAAAAGATTTTTTAAATCGGAACATTACTTCGCTATTTAATAAAAATTGTACGTTATAAGGCCTCACATGGACAGTGACGACACCATCAGTTGGTAAACATGCATTTGCTGCCAAAAGGTGGCGCTTGTCCATTTCCACTACCAAAATAAATATTTTAAAATTGGCGAGATGCAAGCTCCAGTGAAGTCTGCGTAAAGGACGACCGCATAAGTCGGAGATGGATACGTGTGAAGAGATCCTAAAACTTGTAACATCCCTGAGTAATACCAATTCTTGTTCTCTCTAAGATCAGATCACATGAAGTCTACGTAACTTTTTCCGACTTTAGGTAACAGATTCGTCCCAATATAAACAAAGGATTAACTAACGAGTGTGACGGACCAAATATAATATTTAATTGGGTGCCATTAAGTTTTACCATGAATGTCACATCAAAAGTGATACAAGCAATATCTGATGGTGCTGAACCTTCTGTTTTATCGATATGCATGCTCCGAAAATGGGAATTTTCAAGCTACCAAAGAAAATGTTAGCCTGAATAATCTATTCAATCTCAGGAACTATTGGAGATACAACGATTAAGCAGGCTGATTCTTGAGGTCCCTACGCAGTGAAAGTTTATTATTATCATCTTGCTACGCCCACTATAACGCCCACAAATTTCTGAAAAATCAGAAACTATTAAAGCTAGAAAGTTCGGATTTCGTATGTTTCGTCTTAAGAGTTTAAGATGCCGGGGCAGCTTAAGGTGAACCCACTTTTCGGCCACTCCTGCTCTTACGCCCACCAAGCTCGAGAGTCGATTTTCACTTTTTGTAGAAAGGTTGATATCTCGATAGCTATAAGTGATAGAAAGTGAAATGATGCCTCAATGCGTATTATTTTTTCACTCTCTGGCAACTCCCACTCTAAAGCACACAAAACGCGGAAAACCAAAATCGCTTAACTTTCAGCAACTATAAGAGGTAGTGAGTTTGGACTAGACATACATGTACATACATGTTTGTACATGTTTTTAAGGCGACACCACAGATAGAAATGGTATTTTCATGCAGCGATGCCCACTATAATACCCACAAATCGCAGAAAACTGAGGCTTTCATAATATTAAAATGTATGTGTTCGTTTAACTTTGTATAATAGTTTATATCTATTGATTTAAAAAAGAGTTTTCAAATCGAAACATTATTTTGGTATTTATTAAGAAATGTAGGTAATAAGGCCTCACATGGGCAGTGACGGCACCACCAGTTAGTAAACATGCACTGATCTATCAACGCGGTAATGTCAACCGTCTTCAGTCCGGTGTCGACTATCACTGTAACGGTCGGAAGAAGGTTGTCGCTGTGACGATAGAGTTATAAAACTGTCAGCATTAACCCCTTCGCTTTACTTTGACCCCAAAGTGCCAATACAACTGATTTGGCCATATATATTGAAATTAATGTTAACAATTATAAATAAACATCAAATTTACCACTTAAATTCATACCCTATTAGGTCACTTCTAAATAAACACAGAAACCGAAATCAAACCGAGCACTTAAGACCGTAACCTAAACAAAGGGGCAATATATAAGGGACCGGCAGCATAGTCTTAAGTTCAGTTTTATGATCTTATCGGTTGGCACATATATACAGGTATTGCACGTTAGAATTGGGTTGGATACTTTGGTATCGCATATATTACGCGACTTCTAAAAACAGATAACGGATATGCATATTACCGGCACTAGCTGCTTTACCTTCACTAACTTATTCACTTAACTATTCGGTACGTTACATACATATGCTCGACCCTGTATCAATCAGCAGTGAGGTCTTTAAAAATCTCTTGGTCTCGTTCTCGTATATTTTTTGCAATCCTGCAAACAGATGATAGTTATCATTATTCGCTGTTCGTGGGCGTTCGACTGAAATGGACCACTTGGTAAAAAGAATATAGGTGTCGGACTTGCAAAACTTGCAATGCAAAAAAGAACAGGCAGAGCATTTACTAACACAAATACAAGAAAGCGTGCTCATATTATGTGACGTTTTTTTGTTGGTTTGCAGCTGTGCACTGAGAAAAAAAATCATCACTTATTTTACTGCAGGTCAATGCGAAATATATTCTACAATTTAGAGTCTAAATGGCAAACAGAAGATAAAAGGAAAGAATTCTAGTGCAAGTGTTCGAAGAATTTCCAGAAAGAAATAAAACAAAATATATTGCGTTTGGTGATGCAATGAGGCGGAAAGAGGAAAACGGAAAATTGTTAGTGTAATAACGCCGCGAGCGCTCAAAGCTCATTGGCGAGCAATTTCCTATGCTCCTAGCATTTACAAAAACAAATGACCACTCAGAGCATATGCGTTGAGCTCTCCAGCTATAGAACAATATGCACTACAGGTCTACGGCATAGCGTCTAAGTCGAACCTAAACAAAATACGTGTAGCGCAAAGCAAGATTGTCAGATCGATTTGTAATGCCCCATGGTACACGAGAACCAGAGACATAGGAAGAGATCTACAAATCCCAATGATAGGCGATGTTTGTCGAACGCATGCTGAAAGCTACTTCAGACGCCTTGGCACTCATCCTAACTCCCTGGAGAAGAGGCTAATCTGGAGACCAAGAAGGGGAAGACTCAAAAGATACCACCCACACGATCTCCCATTAACATATATGTAACACCTTCGAAGTCTGATGTAATTTAAACTGTAAATGAATAGAAATATTGTATTGTATTGTATTGTATTGTAACCTTTATACCAACACTTTGTTAGCCCCTATATTTAAAACCTGCTCAAGCTGCCACATAGGTAGCAGTATACCTGTTAATTCTGAATAAATAGCAACTGTTAAAAAAAAAAAATAAAAAAGCTATAGAACAACGTGTTTTGAAATGAGACCATTGATAAAATTGATCTTGGGAAAACCGAAACTTGGTCTTACATATAAGTATTACTTTCTGGTTTAAGACTAGGCACTCTACTAACACTAATAATATTAGTTTATTTCTTTACACAATAGTTCAAAACGAAATAAAACTTATAAAACTGAAACATTAAACATTTTAATTATTAATTTTGGAAATATTTTTTAGGATGGAAAAATATCTAATCAAGAGTTCAAAGATGCAGTAAAAAAAACATGTGTTGGCAAAAAGTATGAAGAATTTCCACAGGTAAGGATTTTTTCCCCAATTTTTATACTCGTTACTCGGAGAGTAAAAGGGTATACTAGATTCGTTGAAAAGTATGTAACAGATAAAAGGATGCGTTTCCGATCCTATAAAGTATATATATTCTTGATCAGGATCAACAGCGAAGTCGATTAAGCCATGTCCGTCTGTCCGTTCGCCCATACGTCCGTATGAACCCTGAGATCTCAGGAACTATAACAGATACAAAGTTGAGATTACGCATGTAGGTTATTGAGGTCCCTGGACAGCGGAAGTTTATTTCAGCATCCTGCTACGCTGAGATTTCAGGAACTGATACTGATACTGCTACTGAACTGAACATATACACAGTTGAGATCCCAAGACACCGCAAGTTTATTTCAGCATCCTGCCACGCCCATTCTAACGCCCACAATCACGAAAAACTAAAATCGCTTAAGTCTCAGGAATAATAAGAGCTAGAAAGTTGAAATTCAGTATGTATAATCTTTGGATGCCAGCGCATCTTATGGTCGTACCATAATCCGGCCATACCCACCCATACGCCCACCAAGCGCAAAATATTTCGGTAACTATAAGTGGCAGAAAGTACGGAATAAGCATGTAGGTTTTCATGATGCCCCTTATGCGAATTGTTTTTTTCTGATCAAGCCACGCCCACGTTATAAGGCCTCACATGGGCTGGGACGTCACTATCAGTGGCGCTTAGGGAACTTCAACTAGCAAAACAAATATTTAAAAATTGTGTAAAACAATAACAGGTATCTTATAATGGCGGCACTCGACTATAACGTTTACTCTTGTTTTTTTTAAGATATATGTTTAATATAAGTTTTTTCTATTTCTGACACAGTGTTAATATAGATTGTAAGAGGGAGTTTTCTGGGGTAAATCTGGTAATAGTTGTCCGGCAAATCCCTTAATCGTGGGTGTTACTTTTCTCATTTTTGCTAAGAGTTGCCAGATGGCGAACGTTTTGCATTCGATTAGTAAGTTAATTCAGGCATTAGTTTTCGAAAATACTCTCTCCCTGTCGCTTACACTACTTACTGTTTTTCTACAATACGTTCTCTCTTATACCGTCTTGTAGCTCTCGCTTACACTCTGTCGCTTCTGTTTCTCTCAAACTCCCTTTCTTCTTCCCTATAATTTTTTCTGGCACAGTCGTTTACATATTGGAAATTATTTGCCAAAATGTCTGATAATATCTGTTACGTTTAGAAATGCAATAAAATTGTGTCGGGTGACCAAGTAAGCGTCCACTGTTGGCTGTGTGATAACATTGCGCACTCCAAGTGTGCAGGGTTTAAGTCAGTCACCATTCCGGATGCTTTGGTTCGCTCCGACTCTGGCTTAAACTACTGTTGTGACAGATGTCGCGGAGACCAGAGGGAAATTAGATCGTTTATGCGGCAGACTAAAAATGGGTTCGGTCAGGTATTGGTTGCTCTTCGCAAAGATTTCTTCGCTGGACATCCAGCTCAACAATTTACAGTTGTTGAATGAGTCTCCTAAGCACAAAAAACGACCCGTTTGAGAGTAAGGCGAATAACTCCCTTCTTCTTCCATTTGATGTTCAACAGACTGCTCCATTGTCACCGCTGCCGTCCACCGCTCTAATCGTGACGACACCGGTAACAACCCATATTTCGAATCTTGAAAATATTGCCAAGGAGCTTAGGCATTTGTCCGATGAGTTGCGAGGTAGTTGCATTGGACCCTCCCGTGCCAAATGTTCTAAAAGCTTAAAATCAATTTACCTTTTTTTCTACATTTTGACTCAACAGAGGAACTTAGGGTCCGGTTTACCGGCAACCACTAGTAGCGTGGGTAAACCACCCTCTCCGCCAAAGCCATTGATTGGGATTCCTCCAGAGAAACACATTTTTGTTTCACGGCATTCCCCTGATACGTCCAAAGTCGATATAAGGGTGGAAAATATGACTAGATATAAATATTCCTACGCTAGGATCGTGGCATCTTTCGAGATCCGTGTTTCTCCGATGGCTTTTGACGATATCTGTTCGACAAATTTCTGGCCGCAACAAATTTTCGTTCAAGAACATCAGCTTAGGAATAGAAAGAAGAAAAAAGTTGCCGTTTAGGAGCAAAGCTTCCACAAGTAAACGCTCCTGCCAACCATAAAAACTAACATTATCCATTATTCTCTCGTACCAGAACCCTAGGGGATTACGTATAAATCTTTCTAACTTTTTCTGGGTAAGCTTCTTGTTTGCATTTCAGGTATTTGTTTTTAACGAAACTTGGCTAACTCCAGAAATTCTGAATTCTGAACTTTTCCCCAGTAGGTAAACAATTGTAGGCTTGACTCATCTTTTGGAAATGGTGGTGGAGTCTAAATTTCTGTGGACTCTAAACTCGTTTCCGAGATGATTAATTTTCAAACTGGAGACTTAGAGTTTATCTCAGTAAAAATTTCATTCTCAAGGTTAAATTTGTATATCACGTGTTCTTATATTCCGCCTAAGTCTGATTCCTTGACGTATGAGCGGCACCCAGCAGCCATTCAGTCTGTCTTCTCAATGTTATCGGACATGTATCAACTGGTTGTGTTGGGTGACTTCAACCCCAGGTGTCATGGTAACACTACCTTTAGTTTTTTTTCTATATCACATCATGACTTTACCGCTGGTATGTTAGACATGTCATTGGATCAAATTAATCATATTGTTTTTTTTTCGCGACTCCCGTTGCTTAACGTGCAACACACTTCCCGCCCAACCGACCGAGGGGCGCTGCCGTCTGACGTACGGCTCGGAACACGGGGATAGATCCGAGTGGATTAGTAAAGAAACGAGGAAAGTTAGTTTTGTGCTAAATGGAGTTTGAACATACTACCCGAAATGGTTCATGTTGGGCAAAGTTCGAACTACAATGTTCTAAGGGTAGAGGAATATAATTTCTAGTAATCCTAAGGGGTACATGGATATTCAAGCGGCCTAGAATTTCCTGGCTATCAATTTCACCCTTAAAAGGATTATGGATAAAGACGACACCAAGAATCGTCCTACGATTAGCGAGAGATGGCAAATTGATTATTAAGAGTTTAATTTTATAAGAGGGAAGGTGTATGTTTGCATCCCAGTTGAGACCGCGTAGAGCAAATATTAAAAAATTCTTTTGGATGGATTCAATAAGGCACTGGTGAACCCCATACTGGGGGTCCCAGATAAATGATCCATATTCCAGAAGCGGACGATCTAAAGAAATAACCATATTGGTAACATAGGGGTCGTTAAATTCCTTCGAACGCCTTTTAATGAAACCAAGAACTCCTCTAGCTTTATTAACCATAGAGGAAATATGGTCGGAAAACTTACGTTTTGCATCGAGTAGGATGCCAACTGCATTAATTCTTTCCAGAGCAGAGTATAAGTGGCAACTTTAGGTCTTAGGCGACAGAAGGTCATTGCTTTGCACTTAGAGCCATTAAGATTTAATAAGTTTTCAGAGCACCATTTTTGAAAATTATTAAGGTCAGATTACAGTTTCACCTGGTAGGAGGCATCGGTATATTGCAGACAGAGCTTGACATCGTCTGCATACATAAGTACTAGGGAGTCTTTAACAGCCAAGGGAAGGTCGTTAATAAATAAAGTAAAAAGTAACGGACCAAGGTGGCTTCCCTGAGGGACCTCGGACTGCCAATCCAACCCAGGAGTTCAGTAAGAAAACCGAAAATATCGAGTTTTTCTAAAAGAAGGCCGTGATTCACGGAGTCAAATGCTTTACTGAAGTCAGTGTAAATGACATCCGTCTGAAGTTTATTTTGGAAACCAGTGATCACGAAGCATGTTAGTTCCAAAAGATTGGTAGTGGTAGACCGTTGTTTCATAAGGCCATAGAGATATGACAGATTTACACTGGTGCTGCAAGTGAGGCACAAGAATTTTTTCGAAAAGTTTCGGAATTGCTGATAGTTTAGATATACCTCTGTAATTTTCAGCATCCGATTTTTTCCCCTTCTTGTGCGGGAAACGGGACGTTTCCAGGGAAAGGTTAAATAATTTTAAAAGGGGTTTGGACAGGGTAGCATAGCAGTACCTAAGCACACAACCCGGTACCCCGTCTGGACCTGGCGAAAAGACTGACTTCACATTCTGAAGATCCTTTATAACCCCACATTCCGACAAGGTGGTCCGGGAAATAAAGTTAGACCGGGGGATATCATAAGCGTAAGTCTGCGCGTTTATTAACAAAGGTGAATAGGTAGTTTGAAATAACTGTGCAAAAAGATCGGCAATTTCCTGATCCGTGCTTGCAGAAGATTTTCCAAACGATAGCAAAGACGGAAAGGTTTTACAAAAGGTTAACAAAACTATAGAACTGTTTCGGATCCAGAGCAAACTGATTCTTACATCGAGCTAAATAGTTCTTATAACACTGAGTGTTATGCACGGTAAAGTTAGACCGAGCCACCATATAATGCAAATAACAGTCATTGCTATTAGTTCTTAAGTACTTTTTAAAGAATCTTAATTTGATATTTTTTAGATAAGAAAGGTGCCTTGTATACCAAGGGGGTTTATCCGCCATAGCCGGATACCGCAACGGAACAAAGCGATCAAAAATTAGGTTTAATGTACTATAAAATATATCTAGAGCAGTCGACATATCGGTACATGCGTAAAAATCGGACCAGACAAATTCTGAAATAAAGTTATTAATTTTTTAAAGTCGGCTTTTACGAAAACATCAAATTTTCTTATCAGCGTAATTCTTCTTAGGCTTAGTACATAGCCCCGTATCGATTGTCAGATCTAATGTTGGATGATAAGGATCTTCAGGGTGTGTGAGAGCTGGAGCTCTGTTTATGGATACGGCGTCCGTATCAGAGACAAAGCACAGATCGATCAAACGACCTCAAGAATTCCCTATATGATTAATTTGAGCCAGTGACACGTCTAACATGCCAGCACTAAAGTCGTGATGCGACGTAGGTGTTAAAGCTGTTATGGTTCATGGACCAAGCCAACTGGGGT